GTAACTTTTCAACCCCTAAAGTGACAGATATTCACAGAATACTAGAGAAAGCATGAAGTTCTTCTCTAAACATTCCAAATAATTTACGTTTAGATGAATAAATTGACCGATAACATTGGTATATATTCACTAGTCTCCTTTGTGTCTTTCCACAAATACTGCAAAAATAAACATGTAAAGTATTTAATGAAACAAACAACATACTTGCCGTAAGATAAAATTTTTATTGTTCTCCCTCTGTCTAACACATACCTACTAAAATTAAAAGCATATACTATTGCAAGTTTAATACATAGTTGTTTTTTTTAAAACTTAAAGTAACATCCCCTTGAATAAAAATATTTAAGTACACCAGACATAAGTTCTTTTTAGAAAGCAATGGGAGTGTTAATCAGAAGTTAATCTACCAGGACAACAACCTTACTGATAAACTAGGAATTTCTCCTATCTCATTTGAGATTATGCACAGTACTAAGGTCATTTATATTACAATTAAACAAGGAAAGATTACAGGAGACAGAAGGTTTTCTATTCATATTTAATGAATATAGAAGAAACACTACTCTCATTATGTGGAATTACCATTATTCAAATATTAGTGTCAAAGAAGACTTTTTCTCAGTACATTCTTCAAATGTTACAAAGTTGCTTCCAATAATAACAGCATCAACTTTTCTCCTGAGAATCACTAAAAATGACTCTAAGAGACACTGTAGGCTGATTTGCAAAAAGTGAAAAAGTAAACTGACTTCATCATTACTGTAAGTCAGTACTAAAATTATAGTTTCTAAATACTAATCTGTCTCTTGATTATATTAATGTACGAATTAGCATATTATCTCTGTATGAGAGTGCTGCAATGATCTTGTGCTGACAGTGCAAATCAACATTTTATAAGGCAAATATAAAATTGGGACAGTCCAAACAAAAGTTAACTTTTAAACACAGCTTCATATCAGCACCAAATTTGATACACTTGTAGCAGACTGTTAGCTCTTGCTTAGTGCCAAATTTGGGGAAGTTTGGGCAGGAATTCTATGAGTTATGATTTTTAAAAAAAATAAAACTATTTTACTCCCCCATTTAGAAACACAATCCTAAACACCCCCAGATTTTAAAAATATCACAAAAATGGAAAAGATCAAAATTGCTTATCTTGAAAAATAAATAGTTGACTCCATCCACTTTTTAAATTTGGAAATAAACCAGGATACAGGGACTGAAATATTAATCCTCAGAAATAACTATAGGAACATGATTTCAGAAAGTAAACAGGTGCCAAGATTTAGGAAGATGTGAGATAAAAGAATAAAAGTTATGTCTATTAGGATAAAGGAATTTTTTAATAAATTAATTTGGAGATTGTATTAACTCCAGTGAAATTAAATCAAATAGATGTTAATTAATCTAAGTTGTATTGCAAAGGATGTCAGAAAATAGGTATTTATTTTCATATGTGGTGGGAATGTAAGAACATATTGAAATTTTGATGGTTGATTTGTAAGGAAATAAAATAATTAAGGCAAATATAGAGTGCTCCCCTGAAATAGCATTCTTATCAATATTTGATAAGAAGCAGAAGAGTAGGATAACAAAAGAATTACATTGAAACTTATTAACAGCTACAAATTCATAGTAGCAAGGAATTGGAAGGTAAACCATGATTTTCTATTAAATGTATGATATAAAGAAGTTTGGAATATAACTTTTAATGATAAGTTCACATGTAATATTAGATTAAAGTAGAGAACATTTTTATTGCTATCTGGGTATAATTTATTAATTTTGTATTAATAAAAAGAAAGGGTTGAATGTCTTTGCAAGAATCAATGCAGTTTTGGAAGGAGAATGGAGTTCCGTAAATAGAACAAACATTGGTTATATTTCACTGTTGGAGAAAATAGCCACTCTGTGACAAGACTAAACATGCATGGAACAGCATAGCAAACAGGAGCTTCGCAAAATGAAACACTGTATACATTTGTACCTGGGAGAAGGGAGATATTTAGAAAGAAAGGTAATAGAAACAGACTGAAAATAAAGTTTTTCTTTAAAGAGCTAAACAAACAGTTTTGCTTTAAAGAAAGTAATGGATGAACAGTCCTCTAAAAACTGAGATATTTTGTCAGTAATAATTTTCTTAGGTTTCCTTAGAGCAAAGAGTCTCCTCACATACATTTTCAAGGAGGAATTCAGTTCCACCTCTGGAGCAATCTGAATATTTGTCCCTGCAGATCATGACATGATTAGTTAACTCTTAACTAACTTTTCAAATTTTTAACTCTTTCCTGGTTAAACAAGCTTATCAAAATCATGCTTGCAAGATACCCTGAACATAACACACCAGATATAGTAGTAATAGAACTAAGAAATATCTGGATCATTGACATGGCAATTCCAGGGGATGCCAGAGTTGAAAATGAAGAATTGGGAAAAAATAACAAAGTATAGACTCCTGGCAATCGAAACATCTTGCCTCTGGAGAAAACACTTCAGTGGCCCCCTAGTCATTGGGTTTTGGGAACAATATCAAGAAATTTCACACAGTACTATAAGCAGTTTTAGATCTCAGAAATCAGAACTACAAAAAACAGCAATATTAGAGATAGCAAACATTCTGCACCGATATTTAACAGATACTTAGGTTTTTGGTTAAAACTTGTATCTGTTATATAACACCAGTCAATGATTTTATTGCTCTCTCCTTTTTTGAATACAGTGAGTCGAGCTGAGATGTCCAGCGCTCCGTCTTGCCCGGTAACTTTTGATTCCTTTTAGCCTGTGACGCCAGATTCTGTGGACAAAGTGCTTGATCGCTGTCGTCCCTCCTCCTCCTCCCTTGACCCTTGCCCAGCCTGGCTAATCAAAGCAGCCAGGCCGATAACAACAGAATGGGCCACAGCAATAATAAATGGGTCTCTTCTTGAGGGCAGGTTTCCCCCTTCCCTCAAGGAGACACTCATTAGGCCCATAAGAAAGAAACCCAGTTTGGCGGCGGACGAAATTGGCAACTATAGGCCCGTCGACAATGTTTCTATCTTAAGCAAAGTGGTGGAGAGGGCGGTGGCTGACCAGCTTCAGGCTCATTTGGATGAAACAGATGCCCTGGATCCGTTTCAGTCGGGCTTCAGGACGCGCCACGGTATGGAGACGGCATTGGTCACCATGTATGATGACCTGTTGAGGGAGGCTGACAGGGGTAAAACAT